TCGCGTCGGCTTCCCTTATTGTGTATTTCCGACCGAATGAAATTAATTCACGCCTGAATCAAAGCTCTCGGCTCAAACCTGCTCTCCTCGCTCGGTTCGAAATACAGACGTCATTCCGTCGAGAGAACTACCGATTGACCTGAAGCTCTCGGGTACGTCGTCCGGGAATTGAATCGATAAGTTGCGATATAGTGCGCTTGATTCGGACAGCTCGCGAGAAAAAATCTCGCTCCCGCAAGACCCGCTCTAGCGCAGTCCTCCCCGAGAGTGGAGGCTCTGACCTCTCAGGATTGGATATGCGATGTCGGAACGGATCTTCAAAGTCTTGGTATCCTCGGAACAAAATTTATGGTTGCCAATTAGAGGAGCTCTTTGAGAATTCTCGTCCTTGTTCTACAAGGAACACCTCCGCCACCACAAGCTCGGCTGCTACCACTAGTCACTGTAGGAGGAGCCGTTACTGCCGAGGATCCACTGAAGCAATTCGTCAGGATTACATGAAAAGCGAGGAGAGCATGGAATAGCGCAGGACCCAGGTGTCCTGTCCACCAGCACCTTGTCCTCCTCGTCGATTCCCCTCTCACCCGGCGTGTCCCCTAGTTCCCATCATGGCAAGCGACCCATAGACTGGCGAGTGAGCGAGCGAGCGGGCGGGCAGCCAGGCTACAGGGTCTACGGCTTTATGTGGCTATAAATACTAGCGAGCTAGTAGCAGGCGGGCGCTACATAAATTTATGTATTGTTTTATGGCTTTGGATCCGTTGTGCCGCTTCGCCTGCGGAGTAGGCGTGTGATATTGAATTGGCGCATTTTTTCGTAATTAGCTCACGCCGACTCACACAACATAAACACACGCCGGCAGTGACTATCTGTGAATATAGAACTAGAATGCTGATGCTGCGCGGTATTCTGCAATCTAGTGCAGCGAAGTGTTCTATCGAGATTGCTTCGGTCGATGATCTGAGGAACAGGAAATACGTATCCGACCTTTTCGTTTCTCCGGATCTCGCTCGGCCTCATCGGAAGGTTCGCATCACCAGACTTCCTCAGAGAGACGGATCTGCGCACGGGAAAATGGGTCCGAGCAGAAGCTCATACCTTCCTCCCGGGTCTGGCCTGCCTGTAATTCTATAATAGGAACCCCGTAGCCAGTTGCTACGACGAGGGTGCGCTACGTGTAAAGCGAACGAGAACATGAGCTAGACTCCTTCCGCACGACAACGTACGAGATACGAAGTAACAAAGAGCGTTACGGAGCAAGGCACGGAAAAACTTTCCCCGAGCATCACGTCACGTAGTTTCGATGGTCGTTCGATCAGTGGATGATGAGACCAACGCGTCGTGGGGGATGAACTTCTCGAGGAGAACAATGCTCCTCCTCATGAGCTCGCGCCGAAGCTTCGTTCCGTCAGAGCAGCCGTCCTTGAGCCGCAAGCGCTGTCAAGCTGTAGGTCGGAGCTACGGAGCGAACGGAACTCTGGGGATGAGCCGCCCTGGAGGGTCAACGACGTAGTGAGTGATTCCGAAGAAACCAATGGCACTTTTCGTCTATGGATAATGCCCACGAAGTTTCCGTAGTGGCTGGTCGGCTGCCAAGCCCTCTCTACCCCCTCCCCACACTCAAAGCGAAGGAAACGGATCTGTCAGCTCTCCAGGTTCCATTGATAAGTTGTGAAGCGTTGATGAATGTTTCATCCGCCTAACGACCGTCCTCATCGGCCTCACAACGTAGGCACACGCCTGCGTGCATTATTTACAGTGATAGCTCCTCTCAGAGCGGCTGACTGACGAACTCCGTTAGAAACGACCGCTTTCCGCTTTGTGGTAGTACACTGTACGTATTATTGCAGACAAGTGGGCGACCAGTCATCCGAACGTTTTCGACCATCATCGAGTGCGGTCGCCCTCGCAGTCCTCGTTCTGTGAATTCTTGCTTGTGCTGTCCATTTTGAACCAGTTTCGCTCTGTGTGGCTGCCGCCCTCGTCATCGTCGTCGACTGTCATTCTTCTCGTTGAACTCCTCGACAAAAAGGTCGCACAACTTCCTATCTGAGTCGTGCATACGGAACAAGCTGGCAAACTCATCAAAAACCTCAGAGAGTAACCTCGAGCCGCCAAGATGCGGCTACCCCCGCCGCGCCGTTGTCGTCGTCGTCGTTCGCGTTGCTTGATAACCCTGACAAGAAATGACATCGCAGGAAGTTCAGAGACGTGTTGTAAATACTCTGTCTCGGGCTCCACACCCACCACTAACTGTCGACTCCGGCCCAACAACGCGACTGCGAAGCAGTCGGCCCTCGCTCACTCACCTCTCCTCAGCTCGCTCTATCTTGCGGTCCAGATTGTTGCTGAGTGAGACTTTCAGAACTGTGAAGAAATTTCCCTGATTATGTTCACTGCCGTCAACTCCCGAGAAATTATATAGTTTAGCGACGGTCTCTCCTCCTCTAACCAATCAGGATGTGAGATATTCAGCAAATATTCAGGTTTGAAAATCCGCCTCAGGAAGAAAACCACGCACCTATCCGTTCGGAAGCGAAGGCCGACACGCCCTGCGATTCGATTGTGGAAAAGCCTTCGACGATCCGCGTGATTCCTGTGATTTGTCCCGAAAGCCGTTCAGAGTCGAGCCGAGCTTCCAATAACGAGTCATGAGATGCGTACTATATTGTGTCAAAAGTGCTTGCCAAAGCGCGGGGGCTCAAGCTCCCCGAGACCGGTAGCAGGAGGTTGTCAGAGGTATTCCCAGTGGGTCAGTTGTGCGTGCAGCTCCGCTATGAACGAGCCAAGCAAACACCGCTGATTGTTGGAGTATTCCCGTGTCGGCGTCCCGCCGTCGTCCCGTCGGCCGGGTATCTTATGATGATGATGAATAATTCAATGTGTCCTCCATTCGAGAAGAAAAGTGACTCACGCCCCTGAAGATGAACCGCGGCCAGGTCGCCCCGAACGCTGTTCAATGTCATCCTTAGCGAAGATGACGCGTGTAAAGTCGCGTGTCCTCGAGGGGCGTGCGGCATTCGCCCGCTCCTCTACTAACAGAATTTCATTCTTAATTCGCTTGTTTGCCTTGGACCCCATTAGAGCAGCTTGGAGTAGTATTCTCCGAAGATGGGCAGCAGCAGACAACGGGGCCCCATTGTGAGGTGCTTCGAAACGAGCTGCAAGTCCGCAATAACGAAAATTATTCTGCTTCTCGTTCAATTTTGAACGAGCAATATTCCATCCGGATAGAGGTAGGAGCGACGGGAAACATCGCCAGCACTGAATGCCCGTACCGAGAGAAGGAGAAAACAGGGCAAAGTGCAGGGGTTCCGGGGCAGGGACACGCGGACGCAAAAAGCAAGGCGGAACTGCACCGGTTCACATTGTTCGAGTTCTGCTTTTGTGGAAGCACTTCTCGATTCGGGAAGCCTGTGGGCTATGTTCTCGGAGTGAATATCAGAGAGGAGAAGAATCACAGAGATCGGGTTGCTAAAAGGTGAGTCACTGGATTACAAAACATCTCCGATGAACGGCTTAGAGCGCGGATTAAAGTTCGCAGTAATTTTGCACCAGGGCGAAGTGGCCGCGTGCATTCAGTCTAAGCCCTCGGGAGATTTGTTCTTCTAATGGGAGACGGTACACGCTTGTGCGAGAGCACGGACCACTCGCGGGACAGACCGAAGCTTCGCCAGAAAACCGGAAGTGGTCTGGTTTCCTCTGGAAAATTCGTGGTTTCGATCTTGTCACACGATCAAAACCCGACGCCCGCGTTGAAGAATGACCCTCGCTTTCAAAAGGCTCATGAACAGAGTCTTCCGTATATCCATTCAGTCGGCTATTAGCTCCGAGCCGTGACCGGGTGCTACAGCTTTACACAAGGGACTGTCGTTGTATTCCGCGTCAAGAGTGTCAAGAGACCACACACCGCCGGGTGCTGGATGGGGTAAAAAGCGTTTCCGATTCGAATTTACACTCTTAAGCGTCTCTATTGCGTCTCTTTGTCGTCTCGCCCGTGACCAGAAGAAACGAGTCTTCCATGACGCCTGAAAACCATTTAGTCGAGCGCTGCTACATCTTTCTTCAAACCACTTATGCGGAAAACGCACGAGCAAAATCACCGCCAACAATCAGGTTATTGTCCACCGGCTGAAAAACAATGCGTCTTGAACTCGCCCTTTCTGGTCTCGCTCCCCCCATTTTCCTCATGAGCGGAAGCGAGTTTCCAGGCTCCTCTAGTGGGAGAGCATCAGGTGCGGCACGCTGTCGAGGGGGATTCAGGATATTTCCGGCAAGCGCTTTCGGCGAACGGAGCAATGTATATCGGTGGTGACCACCCGAAATATTAATCACCAACACGGAATTCATAAGGAAAGCTTTCCTGCAGTTTGCGATCCATCTGCGAGCATACGAGTGCCGACACGCGGCTGCGCTCAGAGTGACTCCTCGGACTCACTCGACCGGGCGTAGGCAAATATAGAGTTCAGAGGGAAAAGCGACGATTGAGCGCTGGCCTAGTCCGTTTCATCGCTCGCAACTAGTGACTCAGGTCTCCCAGAATATCATACCACCCTCTAGCTGCTCCCATAAGGCTGCTTGTTGGTCCTCCCCGTCGACGCAATGGAATACATATGTTCTCTATCCATCCGCCCTAAAATACCCGCAGGGTCGTCGCTGACTGAGAGATACAAGCGGGGGCTGGCTTGTCCCATGTTCCCTTGGTCGCACTCACTCACCCGGCCTGTCTAGTCCCGATTCACCCGGAGAACTAGCTGATGTCTGCTTTTCAAAACCAGATACACGAATCGTTTGCTCGGTGTATCCTCTGATCATTCCGCTCGCTTATTCGCTTCTTCCTCTCTCTCTCATCCTTCAGCTCTCTCGGTTGCTATCGTCCTCTTGGTTACTACAGTCAACACTCGACAAGGATTTGTAGTTAGCTCACGGACCCTGATTCGGCAGCACGACATGCTCGCATCTCCCGAAATCGGAGCCCGAGACTGAAAAATCTAGAAAGCTAACCGTCGGGACATTTTCATTTATTCGCAATGGTCATTTGTGATTTGGTAGAATCTGATTTCCCCAAAGGGAGAGCTGTCGAAGAAGTCTCGAACATAAAAATTCTTATCCCAGCCTTCGCGACGGTGCCATTACAAATTGACGAATTGAGCGATGCATTCGATGCACGATGCTCGAGACGAATACTCTCGAGCTCTTGCAACCCCATTCACTCTCTCGGGCGCCCGCAGCGCGCTCACGGGTGAAGCCCGTGAGTCCCAAACGCGGACTGCTTGAGCGTTCTCGCCGCTAATTCCTTACGAACATCACGAATTACATGAGCTTTTTGAATTCGTCGTACAAAACTAAAACCAGGGCGGAGCCTACTCCACGAACCATGTTCGAGAAAGCACCCTTGAAGAATGCGGTCCCTCCTTCGTTGGCTGCGATCTTCTTCCAACAATCGACAGTTCCCCGATAGAGAAGTTCCTCTTGTTTGAGTCCTGACTGCATCATGAGACGTCTCCGAACGGTGTCGAACGGATACGCAATGATCTCGGCGGCCGTTGTCACCACAAAGGCGATACTGAACGAGAGGTAAACGGGTATATCTTTCGGATTTGGCATGTACTGCTTCGACATGTCGAAGAAGCCGAAGTAGGCGGCACGGTAGATGATGATTCCCTGGAGGGACACGTTGAAGCCTCGGTAGAGTCCGATGAAGCCATCGGTTCTATAGATTTTCGCTAAGCAATCTCCGAGGCCTTTGAATTCCCGTTCCGCAGCCGCCTTGCCGACGTCGGCTCCCAGACGCGTTCTCGCGAAATCGAGAGGATACACGAAACACAACGACGTACCTCCCGCTGCCCCACCTGCGGCCAACTGGCCCGCGAAGTACCTGCCGACATAGATTACGGGTTATTTATTTTGGCGGTTGGGAAATTCGATTTCTCATGCGGAAACTCCTCGCGAGCTCATCCCGACAGATTGGAAGATATCGGGATGCTCGGGAGAGTTCATACTCTTAGAGTATCCGAGGATACCTCAAACTTTCCGCGTTGATCGAATATCAGAAAACTCGTCATTAACCCACCTCCAGAACTGCTTGTCCTTATCGACTCCGGCGAGGAACATTTTTTGATAACGATCTTTGAAGGCGAATGAGAGCGCCTGTGTGGGGAAGTATCGAATGATGTTGGCCCAGTTTCCGCGCCAAAATGAGATCACTCCTTGCTCCTTGGGAATACGGACGAAGCAGTCCATCATGCCTTTGTACATTTTGTCCTTGGCGATCTGTTTTGACGCATCCTGAACTTGTAGTAAGAGCTTGACACGCTCAAGGGGGGCCACAGCTGTTTTCGAAATCGCCGCCGCGGTGCCTCCAATGAGGAAATCCTTCCAGAAGGCATCGCCGCTTGAGCCTCCGTGATGACCCATTTTGAAGTTCTGAAACCAGCGAGAAATCAACCTATGATCCGAAACCCATTAGACCATAATACTCGGCCGAAAATGCGAATCACTTCTCAGCTACATGGACAGGAATCGTCTCCACGGAATTCAGCGGCCATCGAGGTCGCTTTAATTTTACAACCACGGGGAGCGTCTTCTCGCAGCCTGCAAGTCACTAACTCGATGTTCCAGCATTCTCGTCTCCGAAAATCTTATGGCGGATTGGGGCACCCTTCTCTGCCACTGGAGCGGGTCGATGAATTTCAATGAATATACGCCTTTTCCTCCCCGAGATCAAGATTCGTGGGGCATGGCAATGACTGTATTTTTGGAATAACTCCGACCCAGAAAATCATACGATTTAATACTGCTCATCGGTCCCAGCAAGAAGAGGACACTTCTCGCGCAGGGAGTCGATCGGAGCGATCCGCTCTGCCAGCATTACATATTGAGGGCGCCGCGCTTCCAGTCACAATAACATTGCGGATTGAACCCAAACGCTCAAAAGAGGCCTAAGTACCCTTGGAGATAACGAAATGTCCGTGCTCTGACCTTAGCGGCAGCGACTTTCGCTCTCCGAAGCTCTCACAAGCGCCAAACTTGCGAAATAAATGGTGCTGTCCCCCTCAAAATATCGATAGAAAATCGGCATTCCCCTTCCTCCCTTCATGCAAGGTGCGTCTACGCCACAGGAATCTGTTTACGTGACCGACGGGAAGTGTCGACGAGCCGACACAGAGCATGTGGCCCCGTCAGAGAAATACGCTCCACTTTCATCGCGATTTTCAAATACTCTGATTTGTCGAAACGGGATAATTACGATACGCGAAAATCGGTGCGGTCTTCCGTTCAAAATCGTGAGTGACATCTCTCGTGCGGGACTTGAGGAGCACAACGTGCTGAAAATGTCGAGATGCACACCAAGTCTCGATTACGCTGACTTTGGGAGCTCTCATCCACTCAGGAAGGATTAAATGCCACCAGAGACTAGTCAGGAAATAACGAAACAAACGACTTTGACCTATTCGGATTGTCCGCGAAGCGCCTCAACATGAAAGAAATCGCAATCGTCGACTTCTCGATACGAGGAAAACTTCAGCGATTCATCGGAGCAGGGAGCGAGCGCGCTTTTCCTCCATCAGTTCAGTCCCAGACAGTGAATTGTGGGGCGATCGTCGACGTCGGACACAATGATCCGAAAGGAGAAGATTGAGGGTTGGCAAGTGTCAGCCGGCTGGCGGACCTGTTGCACGAAACCGCAGCGAGGGAAATTCCCGTCTATTCGGAAAAGATCTCTTAAAACCCGCCATCCGGGCGGAGCCGAAACCTTACCTAAGGGAGGATTCGACCAGCACACAAGACTAGGGATTCGAGATGTGTTGTCTAGTTCTTTTCTTACGGCTCCACACAGTCACAGACTCCGGACACGGTCGCCGGCTGCAGACGTCGATCATTGGCCGACAAACAGACCGTCAGACAACCAGCCAGATAGCTAGCCAGCAGCCAACGAACACAACCGCGCCAGGGAAAAGGGCTTACGTCACGTCGAACGAAACACCCGCCAATTTTCGAATTTCGGCGCGATCCACTTCCCACTGGGGCCCAGCTAGAGCGGGCGGCAAAGCTGTTAGCTAATGTCTTCACAGGAGGGTTCTTCCCGCGGCCTGAGGCAGATCGCCGGAATGAGTTCAGGCTCACCCTCATTCCATGGGAGTTCCGAACCGGTTGAATGCCGCCGCCTTTTGTTTTGCGTTCCCCCGCGGAAAAGAAACCAAGCCTGGATCTCGAATCTCTATGTCAAATGCGCGGGAGGCTAAAATCGCAAAAATCTCTTGGATCGATGTTCTTCAATGTCGCCGCGAATCTTGTTACGGAGTCCTATCGATGATCTGCCCCGTCGCTGCAAACGTGAAGCTCACTCGACCATGGAACAAACAAGCTCTCGGAAAGAATCTAATTGTCGGTCGGAGCAAAGTCCAGACGTCAACATATTCCGAAATGTGGACGGAGGAACGGGAATTCAACGATCTCTTCGTTTTCGCAAGATTCTATCATAACTTCAAAAGACATCATATACAGAAGAGATCATGACAGATTACCGCTGATGCAGAAAATAAGGGTGACTCAATCTCGTATCCCTGATGCCGTCAGCCGTCGGAAGTTCTCGCTCTATTCGTCTCCATTCTTCGGTGGAGAAACGATCTCAGATATCAAGATGGCAGATCACGGGCCACTCACACAGCAATCGTCCGTGGCCAGATTTCAGTGGGAAACTTTTGATTCGGTGTCGGGTCCGCAGCGTCTGAGAAATGATTTCGACTTGTGATCTAACGCATATCCGATCAGGCTCGCTGGCCCATAAACTCAAAAACGCGCTCAGCGAGACCACGGCGCCGGCGCTCCTATTATATTGCCTCCGTGAACGCGGCGTGCAGCTCGACGCGCAGAGAGGTTATTGCATGTCGACCAGTGAAGAGCGTGGGCTGTCGGCTTCGTCGAGACTGTAGATTAATGAAGCCTGGATTGCGGGTTATTTAAGCTCTTGATTAGATTCTACTGTTCGAGACGCATGTGAACACATTCCAGTGTCGAGTTGGTTCCAACAAGCCACAACGATTTGCCGCAAAACGCATTCCGTCTTCCCGACGATGCTGTTGCCGTGGTGTCGGAGACCCGCAGCTCGTCGGCGCACGATTGAGCCTGAGGGTTCAGCTGTCACCCAGATTCTCCTCGCTCCAGCATCAGGATCGTCGGAGAGGTCGACTGTGCATCGGTTGTCTACGAATCACACTGAGTAAGAGACGTAGCACCTGCCCTCCATGGAGCTCACCGACGACGCGATTCCGCCGAAAATCCCTATTTGAGACGTAAGCATTAGTCTCTGGCTCACTCGGTCGGTCAGACATTATGATGGAGGCGTTGAAGCACTGTGAGCGCTCCAACCATTTGGACCCTCGGTCGGAAGCGACTGCCTCGGCTATCATGGGATCACAAAAGGCACTTCACCATTGCAGCTGCTGAGGCGGCTGCAGCTGCCTCGGAGAGCGCTAAGATTCGGTCCGAGTGGATGCGTGGGCTGTCTGACGGCAATGAGCGCGGACCCCCATTGCTGAACAAGTGTTCGCGTCCATCAGTGGCCACCATTCATCATTTGGCTTCCTGCGTTGCCCTGGCGACTTCTGCCTTTTTGTGCGGCCGTCGGCACTTCCCCCGATAGTGTCTTATGAGGAACCGCGAGTTCACCGGTTGTATCTCTCGACGACAAGGGGTGGACCCCTCGCCGACCTCGCTCGCGGTCATGAGAATCCCACCTCCGGGCAGCCTTGACGGCGTCGATCGCCCCGCTGCATCCTCATTCCCTCGAATTCCGACCGATCAGTGAGAATTCTCCCGGAACCTCCTGGAACCAATTGGAGAATATCTGAGCCTCCCTCAGCCCGAAACTCCTCAGCCTGGGGATCCCCCGGTCTCTGATCCGATGAGCTCGAACTCGCGATTCCTTGGCCTGGCGAGCTGAGCCCGATTTCCGTGGAATTCCGGCCGTAATGAAGATCAAAGTCCACCTGTGATCTGGATAAAAGGTGTTCCGAGAACGTGAGCTTACGCAAGCGAGCTTTTGCTCGTCGTAGAACACGTACAGAGATCACGTCATTCAGTTAATATTCAAGAGTGGCACGCTGTTCTTGGTCGCCCCAGAGACTGCCGTACGGGAGCGGCCCGTAGACGGAAGTCCATTACGAGGCTCTTCGGAGACTGGGCCACGATAAATTACGACAGGGCATGTTGCGCTCGACCCGTGTTGCTGACTGAAGCGTGTAGTTGCCGGTATCCCCCCCGCGGGTCTCCAGAACCGGAGATTGTTGGTGTCGATCGGATATCATAGAGCTATAAGCCCCTGCGATGCCCTCTTACAGAACGGAGGTGTTGTCGACACGGAGAACCCAATCAAAAGCAGACGGTGCGGTGTGAGCAATCCTAAGGCAGGAGACCTTGAGTCAGCGAGCTTCGGGTGAAAGTTTTCGGGAACTTTTTCAGTCCGCAAGTTTTGACCCCATGCAGACGGCGGTGGGAGTGGAGCAGAAGAAACTGAGTTTCCGCTGGGGGCGTTAATAACGCATACTTTTGTATTATTTCTCAGAGGACGTTACATCTTGCAATTTCGCCGTCTGCGAAGCCCACGGAGGTGGGAGGAGGCAGTCAGCCGACCTGCGACGAGGAAGCAAAAGTGGACGAAAGCACAAGGCGCTTGCACCGACGCACCTGTAGGTGCTGGACCCGGGTCTACATGAATTATGCATAACCTCCTGCGTCCGCTTTCCCTGGCCGCTTTGCCTCCTGTCGACGTGAACTCTCCTTTCCCCTTGAACAAAGCAACGTTAGAGCTTCGGATATTATTAATTGCCCTTACCTGGTTGTGGGAAATGCAAAGGAAGCGCCGTTTTGGGAAAGACGTGGCTTGACTTCTAGACCGCTCATGGGATAGGGCGGCCTCGCGAAGGAGTTGGTGAACTGGAGAGGCGAAAGTTTCAGAGGAAAAGTATTAGACACTCACGAAGTCGGCCTCACTGTCTTCTTTGCTTGTCTCTCGGTTGACCCGGTGAGTAGGTTGCGAGAATAACATCTTCCCTGCGACCATGTCTGTGAGAAAGGGTGAGGAAGTCTGCGGATACTTGTTGATCACCAGTTTGTGCTCTCACGCTTGATGGATCGTGCTTCCGCCTCCAGGACCACCATCACGAGGAGTAGACGCAACGACGGCAGTCTGCTCGCAAGTGACAGCTGACCTGGACGACCGATGACTTGGGCACCCCGTCCGTACTATCTAGGGAAGAACTTCAGGAGAGAAACGGTAATGGAGTGAATGGCGGTTTCGTTCCGAGTTTGCAATCGGCTTGCCGGCGATATGAGGTAAATAATCGAGGAGCTGGCGTTTCTTTTCGCCCCGCTCCTTCGAGGAGGTCAACCTCGCGAGATTACTCCGATGCCACAGTGTGGCCAAATCCGATTTTAGGCGGCAGAAATTATTTCAGTGGGTTTTTTGGATTATTCTCGTGGTACGAACTCGTACCAGTCATCAGAGGAAATTTCTGGCTCTGAGCTCCTCGGAAAGCCGCGTACAATAACTTAGCAGGTCCGGCAGGCAGAAGATCTTTGACTTTGTTCCGTTTTGTCCTCTCCGCCGAGTCCGAGAAATTTTTCTTTGGTCGTCCCGCTCGTGGTGTCCCTTGAGACGCTCTCGAAGGTCCCGGCTCCTCGGGCACGTCTTCTTGTGCGGGTAGCTCAGTGTAGTGCACGATGGAATCGAAGTTTTTGGCTTTCAGCGATTCAGCTCCTTTAACGAAGAACCGTTCCGCTTTCGAATTATGTCTCCCGAGTTTTACCTCACTCGGGACACATGCCTGCTAATCTGCTTTCTGATGTGAGATCTATTGCTTAGTTGCTCAATTTCAACATGAGCATGACTCAAAGTGAGTTTCTCCAACCCATCGATGCACTCGTTCTTCCGGGAGTTGAAGATTGTCTCCGCAAATGTCCTCCGGGGCACCCAAATTCGAATATCTGAGAACAGCACGCACTCACGTTTGCCAAAACTTGCTGGTTTTTTTATTTCGGAAATGGAAGGAGGGAGGGTGAAAGAAGATTTTCCACCCAATGAGCCACCCGGGTCCGCCCTGGTCCTTATACTTCCTTGACGGTGAAATTTCATGAAAATCAGTTTTTTTTCGCAAAAAAGATGCACTCAGAAAAACTTCTGATTTGCATATTCTCGTCGAATGAAACGCTAAACGTGAAGTTTCAGACTCAATCTTACTCACGATTCGGTGTTTGCTCCTTCCTTAATCGATTCCACGGAATCTCGAGCGTCAGCACGAATCAGAAGGAAAAAGTGACAGTCCGGAGCAAAGAAAACTACCTCTTTCCGGACTCTCTCCAAAGAGATACAAGTGCTTGGTTTCTGATTGGTGTGTGTTTCCGAGGTCCCCATACTTCCTCCAAAACGCCACGACATAAATTTTCAAGATTTTTCATTTTCAATTTCTGCCGCCTAAAATCGGGTTTGGCCACACTGTGCGATGGTGGATTCCTGAATCCTGTTTTCGGTGCTGCGACCGCGAGATATCAAGTGAGTCTAGATGCGCAGGCTCTTGACCGAAGCCCTCGGATGGCCTCTATAATGATACTGGCATCGATTCATTGATCCACGCAGATGCTCCCCGTGTAATCTTCCGCCAAACAGAAAAAACTATCGTTGCTGTGTTGATTGGGTCACGACAACGCCAGGGGATGTTCCGTGTTCCATTGATTCACGTCACTATTCTCGGAGCCGGCATGTTCGGACGCCGAATCGAACATCGGAATCGTATCGAGATTCGTGAGCAGATCCACGTAGGGATCCAAAGAGCGACTCTTGGGATCCATGAGGGATCCGCGTAGGGATCCCCCATGTTTCTCAAGAGTCGCTCTCTGTGACCTGCAGAATCGAGGACTATTAGAGGAATCCATCAATATCTCTCTAGAAG